AAAAAAGAAAGAAAAGACAAGAAAGCAAGTCTTCAAAAAAATAACTGATGGAGGGTAAGAGACAGTCACCCTTTCGTGGTAGTTAAGCCAAGATGGAGGGGGAAGGCCCTGCCGTATGCAAATTAGATCCAAAGTATCCATAGAGGGACAATGAGGAAAACCGGGAGTAGCAAAAACAATAAGAATAGGATAGTGAACAAGAAAGAGAAGGACAGGTTCCTAACTACTCTCGGGCTGTTGAGAGGAAAAGGTTGAGGACAGTCACTCCACCTCCCTCTGGCCCAGCCTCTTCAAGGCAGGGCGTCTATTGTCATCATCATGTCCACACGATGTCAACATGGGCACCTCCCCTTCTCCCTTCTCTACCCACAGGCATGTCCTGCACTGCCTATAGAGGTAGGGGAGGAAGGGTATTTGGAAAGACTTGCCATTGTCAAACCACACGGGTTTAGGGAGCCAATCGCTGCCTCTTCAGATTTAGGGCAAGTCATGGCGTTTAAGAGAAGAGCTGGAAGAACCCAAATTGTGTGACAGGGGGCTGGGCGCAGAAATTATTTTCAAGAATAAAGAGAGCACAATGGGTCAGACCATCCCCAAAGCTGCCTCCTTTGGGAGTCCCATCTCAGCAGCAGGTAGCTGGATCCAAAGGACGGGTCCCCCTCCCCCAACAAGAAATGACCCAAGCCCCCTACAGTCGGTGATACTGGAGGAGAAAGGAGAAAGAAATTCTTTGTACACTTTTCACGTGGTCCCAATTCATTTGTTTGCCTTGTTAAGGATTAAGATGATTCCAGATCATGCTTGCTGACGTACACCCAAGATTATCCCGCTAAATCTCCGGACGTGCCAACTGGAAAACAAATGATGATTGTTCTCTCAGAAGATCTTTGTTTTGGACTTTCATGGCCTGTGGGGCTCCTTCCAGTGCCAGCCTGGAGGCAACCATGCAAACAGGAAGCAAATAAAGCCCTGCAAAGCAACAAACAAGGGCCCACTGCTAGTCCAGCTCAGCCAACCTGGAGGCGGGCCTCTGCGCCAAGTGCTGAAACAGCATGCCAGAATCACACAGCAGAAAGTGCAGGCACCTGGAAGAAGAGCCAGAGTCATGCCAGGCCTCAGTGAGTGCAGAACTGGGCAGAAGTTTCAGCCACTGGGGCCAGCTGGGCCCAGAGCTGGACTCTGGGCTGCTGACAGAATCAGAACTCTTGGCAGCGGTCAAATGAAGGCAGCACTGCCAGCAGGTCCTGAAGACAACCTGTGGCTGATGCACACACAGCCAGCACGCCGTGAGCCCGGGGCGGTCCGACTGTCTAGCAGCAACTCAGTGTGCTCTCTGCTCCATCTCCTGCCTCCTACTTCGTGTGGCTCTCTGGCCCCGCATTGCTTAGGACTTCCGAGTGAGGACTGACAATGGGACACTAACACAGAGTGCAATTTCCCCCAGTCCAGCACTTTACTCGCCTCAGACCTCACAAACAGATAGCCCTGTCTCCACCCTGGAAAGGGTCCTGGACGCCCCTTCTACAGAAGCAGGCAGGGCCAAACGCACCAGAGCAAGGGACGTGTGAGCAAGCTGACACGTTATGAGAGAGATACTCGGAGATCTTCCTTGGCTCCCTCCCATCACCCACTGCCTTGATCCATTTAGGAGGTCCTGGTCAGGGTTGTAGGGTCCCTGGTGCCGTAGTAGGTTAGGAATTGGACTGCTCAACACAAGGTCAGTCATTCAAAACCACCTGGTGTTGAGGGCTTCCTTCTCTTGTCAAGAGTCACCATCTCAGAAACCCACAGGGGCAGTTCTGCCCTGTCCTACAGGCTGGCCATGAGTCAAATCGACTCGGAGGCTGTTTTTGTGCGCGCGTGCGTGCGTGCGTGCGTGCGTGCGTGCGTGTGTGTGTGTGCGTGCGTGTGTGTGTGTGTGTGTGTGTGTTGTATTTTTTGGAAGTTGCCTCAGTGGCAGTGGGTTTGGTTTAGGTTTGGTTTAATAGGCTCATGACCAGGATTTTCCCAGGAGCCAAGGAGGGGGTCTTCAATTAAGGGAACTCATATAAGTGCATTTCTTTGTTTCCCTAAAGGCTCAGCCATTAGAGAAACAAATTAAGCATTTGTTAAAAACGAGATGCATTTTACGTGGCATTTGGGCTCTCAACTTCCGTTCCACTAGGTTTTCTTAACCTTCATTTTTTGTAATGGAATCACTGAGAACAAGGCAAGAGGAAAACGAACTCTATCCTAACTACTGTCTATCCATTAAATCCTGCTCATCGGCATTTTATTTCTTTATTGTACAAAGCCAATTTACAGGACTGTGACGTCGAGAACAAGAGCCACAGGAAGATTAAGGGTCTTACTTTAAGGGACACCACCATGGGTCCACCGCAGTCCCACAGTGACGTGAGACGGCAGGTCTAGGAATGACAGTAGTGCAGAGGAAAGCATTTCCATTCCATCCCCTAGAGCAGTGGTTCTCAACCTTCCTAATGCCGAGACCCTTCCATCCAGTTTCTCACGTTGTAGTGACCCCCCCCCAACATTATTTTCATTGCTTCTTCATAACTGTCACTTTGCTACTGTTATGAATCGGGTGACCCCTGTGAAAGGGACGTTCGACCCCCAAAGGGGTCTGGACCCACAGGTTGAGACCCGCTGCCCCAGAGGAAGAAACTTGTTTTCCATTAGCCCTAAATTACCAGCAGCTCAGCAGTATGGGATGGTCACCCCGAGAAAGGCCCCGAGGTTGAGCGCAGAGTCAGACTGCCTTCTTCAACGGCCTCCAGCTGGGGCGCTTCGAGAGCTCCACGCCTCTCTCAGCGTCCATTTCCCCACACTTAAAACCCAGACTCTCGCCACCACGTAACCGAGCAGACTTCCAAAAGCTCATGGAAAAAATGGAAAGATTATGAATTTTCCCCCCCCCACACACCTTTGAAGCCCCTTCATCCAATGGGTCTGGCTTTTCTGACATTTCCCGTGTTTATTCAGCTAATCTTTGTTAACTACCCTAAGCATTTAACAGATATTAACCCATTTAACCCTCACAGCAACTCCTAGAGGAAGGGTATATATTTATTCCCATTTACTGATGGGAAAACTGAGGCACCGACCTATTAAGTAACTCATTTTAAGAGACTGCTCAGCATATAGCAAGTGCTCAGTAAATGGCGTTCTCTGTTATGAGCCTGAGAATTTTACACAGGCTTAAGCAGGTCAGAGGGAGATGCCGAGTGGCCAGGTCAAATTCATACGCTATTTACTGTAGTCTCTTTCCAGCTTCACTCCTTCGTTCCAAACGCTCACATAAAATGACCATGAACTAATTACCTGCTTACAGAAGGCTCTTTTAGCTCTCCGGCACCGCCGTCCTCACACGGGCCCATTTTATCTCACAACGGCATTCCAGTTCGCTGCATGAGGGGAGGAGCCTTCAAAACACTCACAAAAAATTGAATAAAAAGATAATTGACTTCCGCGTTAACTGTTTGAAGCCCCCTTGGATAGCCAGACACTGGCCACGCCATAGGGGTGGTCTGACAACCAGGAACTAGGCTGAGCTTCGGAGCTGCCTTAATACGCCCAAAACATGTTAAGTGGTCAGTTTAGCTTGACTCTGGGGAACACAGTTGGCCTTAATCAGCCAATCCAAGAGCTCTTGTGATTTCTGAAGCCTGAGATCGATTTCCCAGGGATTTTTTTTCTTAACCAGTGGATCTGTGGTGATATTAAGATACGGTGACCAGATTTTAACATTGGTGAAGCGGAACACCATTGATAAAACTCATATCCTGTCGAAATAGCCACACGGCAGCCAAAAAACATATACCCTAGCTTGTCGTGCATTCTTTCCAAAAATCAGGACTTTTTAAAAACGCTGTGGGATGTGGGGAAAATTGTTAAAAACTGGGACTGTCCCACCCAAAGCAGGACATCTGGTCACCTTAGACTCACTACTTCAAGAGTCAACCAAATTTGTTTTGTTTGTTTGTTTTGTTTGGTGGCCTTTGGTGTTTTTATCATTTATCTCTGCAGCCATGGTTCAGAACACGCACAGAACATAGGCAACTCCGCAATCTCGGCATGCACAGTGAGGTCAGTGGTCTGATGACACATGTTGACAGTCACGCCACCACTCGCCCCCTCTGTTTCTACAAGGCAACCTTCCCCGAGGCTACTGGTCAGGAGCTGACAGCAGGGCCGACATAAGAGACTGCAGACCCGCCTGCTTGGCGCTGAGTGTCACGCCAAACACGCTTTCGAGAGAGTGGGGGAGAGACCTTGGCAAACCCGGGTGAAGACCCATCCGCATCAAAGTGACGCCATTTGGACTTGGCTCGGATAGAGCTTTGCCAGACGTCACACGACCCAAACGGGCCAAAGGCCAAAGACCTTTACGCTGAGTGTGAGGTTCACTGCTACAGCTCCCACCAGCACAACCCATCTTATCAGCCATGAAACAACAAGTTCTCGCTCCCCCAGGGCCGAGCCACCATCTTCCGACATAGAACAGGGACGTCCGAGAGAGCGAAGAGATGAAAGAGGTGGGCTAGAACACAGAACCACGGGGTGTTTAAGAATCCCGGGCCGAGGGTGGAAAGGGGGAACCGACTGCAAGGATCTACACATAACCTTCTCCCTGGGTGAAGGGAGTGGGTAAGATATGACAAAATAATAATAATTTATAAATTATCGAGGGTTCATGAGGGAGGGGGGAGCAGAGAGAGAGGAAAAAATGAGGAGCCAATACCAAAGGCTCAAGCAGAAAGCAAATGTTTTGAGAATGATGAGGGCAAC